TGTTTTGCTTTGGAGTTTTGCGAAGCCTTGTCCATTGACTCATGTGACCAAGAGATCAAAAAGCTTCGTCCGAGCGTTTGGACCCATATGAAACAAAAGCTTAGTCCAAAGTCACTCCAAGAGTTTGGACTCCCATGATCCCCAAAGCTTCGTCCTAAATCACCTCAAGAGTTTGGCCTCATATGACCACCAAAGCTTCACCCCACTCATATGACCCCCAAAGCTTCGTCCAAAATCACCCCAAGAGTTTGGACTCATATGATCCCCAAAACTTGGTCCTAAATCACCCCCAAGGAGTTTGGACTCATACGACTTTCAAAGCTTCACCCCCCTCATATGACACAAAAGCTTTGTCCTAAATCACCCCAAGAGTTTGGACCCATATGATGGTCCGCGTGTCAGCAGGAGGGGAGGCCGCAAGATTTGAATTCCTGGTCTCTCTCTCTCTCTATATATATATATATATATATATATATATATATATATATATATATATATATATAATTATCTTCTAATTTTTCTAATCGCATTTTTAGTACTCGGCACTGAATCTGTAGTTCGTTGTACTATGACATCATTGCCTTTTGTCTTTCATGCAGTGATACTCCATCGAGTCCTTGATATATATATTAAAATAGTTGCAAAGATTCATCAAATTCCTCATTCGGCCGGAATCCCGACACCTCATGTTAAATAATATTTATTTTATTTTTGTAGTTTTTCTATCTAAGGTTCTTCTCATTTATCAATAATAACGAAAACATGAACTTTTCATTTATCTTTGTTGATTAATCTTTTGAAGAGGAGGAATAATCAACAAATATAAAGAAAGATCTGTACGTTTGTTTTTTTTATTTTAGAGTTATTTAGTTTTTATTGAATTCTAGGGTTGCTATTACTTTTTTGTTTTGGTCATAAAGGGTTCCTATTAATTCAAAATGAACATTCTTTCATAAAAAGTGAAAAAAATTATAAAGTTACTCAAAATATTAGAATTTTAAGCAAAATTAATTGAAACGATTGGATATTTAAATATGTGCGTGGACCTACATTATTAAGAGCATTTTTCTATTACCTCGTACAAATCAATATTAAATTAAGTGGCATAGAATGCATTTTCATAATGACGAATGTTATCAATTACAGATAATTTTTGTAATTGTACTTAATGATAACGAACATAGCTGTCGAACCACACTTAAAACTAACTATTTATGATTCTTTAAAATGTCAAACTACGTGACTAAGTTGTCTTTCCGCAATAACATGCGGGTTTCCATTGGGTTTTGCACTATTATAACATGCTGATGCCACGTATTAATTTTTAGCCCTTAATCCAAATTTATTGTTTGTGTTTAGACAACAAAAAAAATCGACATTCATCCTAAAATCAAGATTAAAGATTAGCCCAACGACCAAATACGTGACAAAAAAGTACAAGGACCAAAATTGAACGGGAGTACTAGTGCCATGACCCATTTTGTAATTTTCCATCAAGTTTGGAGTTGTAATTTACATGTTAGTGCCACGTGTTCATCTCTGGTGTTTCTTTTTTGGTCGGACATCTCGGTGTTTAATTAGCACTCTCTGTCAACATTTGAATGGAAAAATACAGATTTATCCTAACATTGTGACGTGGAATGAGTTTAGGGACTAAATTTTTCGTTAAAAAAATAATGGCCAAAATTAAATAGTGACAATATAATATAATATAAGGACCATTTTTGTAATTACTCCTAAGATTATCTTTTTGGAAAAAAAAAAGAATTGATAGGGGTTTTTGTGGGTTGTCGGATATGGGCATCAAATTTAATATAACGTGCATTACGATAATCCAATCACCTTTTATGATACTAAGAACTAGTTGTGTGCGCCCCACTCTACATGGACATATATTGATGAACGTATTTTGACATGCGTTAATTCTCTTTTCAATATGTGTTTATTGATAAATACATTTCCACATGTGTTTATTCTCCTTTCTGTTATTAGCATCACTAATTTTTACATCATGTTATATTTGTGGGGCTACCAAACCAGACATATAAAATGCGGCAAAGCTCAAGCACTGGGCTTACGTAATATGGATGCCTGGTATTTTTTTTAGGATACACAGTTCAAGTGGCTGTACATTGATTTTCTTCTGCCAACTGCCCAAGAAAAGGAACTTACTACGTATCATAAAAGAGGACGAAAATGAAAAGGGTACCAATTATGGTAATTTTTTTTTATAGAGAGTGAAAATAGTAAGGATTATATTATTGTAAAATCTAAAAATGAGGCTATTATGTATCAATTCTATTACGAACGATAAAATCTCGTATATTTTGATAACCGAGCCAAAAGAGCAACTGTTTCCTCTTCTTCTTCTTCTTCCAATCCCGCCGATTATCTGGACCGTCAGCGCAGAGAGGGAAGCGAAGAACTCAAAAGATAGGAGTTCAGCCACAGCGGCAACGCCTCGAAGACCTTGGCTCCCGCCATCGCTCGTCTCTCCCGCGTCTCGGCAACGACCTCGCTATCCGAGCTTCTCCTTCCCAGGTGAAAAGCTAAGCAGTTGCTTCTTCGTGTGCCCTTGTGGTGAGTGATGCTTAGTTTAGATGCTATGCTATGCTGTTGTGAGGTCTTTGGCTCGTTTCGCTCGATACAGTGTCCGATTGACACATTTGAGAGTCCTTCCACCGATTGCCGAGTGCGTGGAGCTTTCTGCGGTGGATTTGAGTCAAAAGATTGCTGACCTAGGTTGCGATTGGGCCTGTCGACGATGATTAGAACTTGACGTGCATATATCTGAAAAGAATCTAATACTGTCGATAGGGTGATTCAAAGTCACCATGGCGATTCCCAGCTATAGCCAAGGGAACTACCACTACCAGTGCTACTCGCAGAAATGGGGAAACCTTAGGAAAAAACACACTGTAGATAACCGCCTTCTATGGGTGCTGCTGTTCTGTCTTAATAATGCTTTCCTGGTTTGTCTAGTTACTTGGATGGTGCTGTATGGAGTTTTGCAACACTCAGTAAGTCTTGAAGCTGACATGTTTGAGAGAAAATGTATGCAAAATGCTGGGATAAGAATTTATAAGTCACATGACGTGTGTCCATGGAGATGAGCTTCTATGATCTCTCATTATGTAAAAGCAGTGCGAACTCTGTCAAACAGATTTCGCAGTGCCCCAAGAAGACCCATAAAGCCAACATCTGCAGAATAAAGAGACGGGGAATTTTCATTGCGCCAATTGTGATTTTTTTTCATGCATATGTGATGAATTTTAAGCGAAGTTCTTGTCATATGTATGTGCAGGCATTAAGAAAACATACTGGATTACTTGCAATGTTGACTGCGACGTACATCAATTATCTCTGGATAGGAGAAGATACCCGAGCAATTTTGTGGTGAGGCCACGTGATCTGAACAGATTGCTTGCAAATTTTCAGTAATCCCTTCAGGGAACCACTATCATTGCAACTGAGCGCAACTCCGAACCTTCTGATGCTGCTAGTGAATTTGGTGGGAAAGCTGTTGAGTCCCGAAGCTACATTGATTCTACCAAAGGTAGACATGAACTTTACTCTTTTCAACCGAACATGGAGAAGAATATCATGGTTCAGATTCTGGTTGCAGAGAACGACTCTTTGCTGCACATTCAGCTGTGGATAGACCCTGCGGCAGAGTTTGTGCAGTATGCTCATAGCAGCAACCCGGTAGACGTGACTTTTGCTGTCAAAGAGTTGAAGGTATTCAATCTGATTCTTTTTTTATTATATCAGATATCAAGCTATTTGGGTCATAAATGCAGCCAAAAGTTCTTGAACATACGACTTCATTATCAAACTTATCTCCATTTCGTTAAAACGAGTCCACCTAATTGCCAAAATGCTATTGGAGTCACATTCAGGACCATCATTTATGTTGAAATTTTTCCTTGTGTTTTCCAGTGAACATGATGATTTTGAACCGTTGTCCATCTCATGGAAATCCAGGCATTTCTTGCATTCTGTGAGGGATGTGAAGTGGACATTCATTTGTACTTTGAGAAGGCCGGCAAGTAAGTAAATTCTGAGTGCTCTTTTGTATCTTACCTTCTACCCATTTTTGTTCCATGCTTCACTTTCAATTTTGTTTATGCAAGTAGCTCAGATGCAACGAGCAGTTTTCATGCAATCAGTCCATAAGTGGTTTTATGGATGAATGATTGCTAGTTATCTGCTCAGAGATCTAAATCATGCTAATACATAGCTTCACGATGAAAATTGTAAATGCCCATGCCAATTTTACTTTTGGGCTAAATGTCAGAAAACAAGAGACTATCATTGAAAGATTGGTTGACAAAACATAGTGCACCGTCAAATCAAGTTTGGATAATAATAGTTTAAGGAGGTTTAAGTTCGGCTGGTAAATATTTTATTTATCAAGTTTAATGCAAGATGCTAGTAAAGTATGCCAGCTAAAAACATCAATGCAAACTTGATGGTTAATGTATGTCTTTTGACTTTTCTTTTTGGTACTAAGTGCAACATCTCTGCCATCACAAAGGGGCATAAGTGCAACTGAATGCAAAATAGAAAAAAGGAAAGAACTTGATACAACTGCATGTTTTTATGAAACAGGCCTACTTTGATGGCCCCTAAATTCGGCATTGATGAGGGGGCCTCTTCCAATTTTGATGCTTAACTTGTACTGGCCACCATGCTCACATCACAATTACATGAAGTCAATACTAGACCTTCAGCAAATGGAATGCCTGGCCAGGGTGATACTGGGGAAGCTTCTGGTGAACAGCCAGAGAGGAATAGAACAAGTGCTCTGAGATTCCATCTAATCATACCGGAATATGGTCTAAACTCTCGGGTGAGTGATCCTTGTAGCACTATCATCTCAATGATGGCAAAGAAATTGAATTTTGCTTCGCTCTAAAATGAAATGCTGTGTATGTCAGGAAGTCAATAGGAAGGTATTTTTTGGTAATCAATTTGAGTGGTTTACTAACTTTGGGCAGGAAGTGCTGCGAAAAATGACGGTGGTTCTGATGGAAGGCAAGTTCCAGAAGAAAGGATCTTAAAAGCTGGTGGTCAGTCGGGAATTGAAAGGATTAGCACCATTCAATTATCAGAAGCTACATCAGCTGAAGGAAACATCCAAACTGGTCCGGAATCTTCATCTCTCAATCTCTCTCTCAGTTTGTGTGTGTATGATGCACATCATCTTTATCTCTCTAGGTCACATTATTTTGTTGTCTCCTACAAATATTTCTTAATAAAGTTGCTACACTTTCTCAATCGCCTGTTTCCCTACTGTAAATGCTGCTTCGAAAGAAAGAATTCAGCTTAGGCCAATTGCTTGCATGACTTTATCTTGGAGTCTTGCAAAATTTTACTCTTTATTCTTGCATCAAGAAGCAAAAGTTTCTGGCAGAAATTTATATATGTCCTACCAAACCTGTCAGCATTTCTTTTTTTCCACTCGAGTGCGACTGTCCACATGACACCACTGACAAGGTGGAGCAAACCTATTTTCTGCTTTTTACTCAACCGTGAGCCCTGATGATGTGTAGCACATACCTGTGCAAGTACCTATTTCTGGAAGACTGAACTCACATGCCTTTTTTGGGCTTCTCAATATCGATTCGATTAGTCTGCTCGTATCATGTCATTTGTTAGTGGTTCTAAATGTTTTTAGAAGCTAAGGTACTGAACAAGATTGTCACTGACATAGCACTAATTAGCGCCATCATATGTATGTTCACGCAGTTGTGTTAGTAGTTGAATTGGATAATCCCTCTAAAGTGATTTTCTTCATTCTTTTCTTGTCTAGATGGACATGGTTTTTCACAACGTCATCCAAGTAATTGGGTTGATGCCAATGAGAATGAGGATGATGATAACGAGGATGGTGATGAACTCTGTGTTCGATCAACACCACCATAGTTTGAAGATCAATAGCATTATGTTTCCTGTTTAACCATGATAAACTTGCTCTCTGAGTTTTACTGGTAAGGGCTTGTGCTTTCCAATGCTTGAGATATCCTGTCCTGTGTTCCTTCAGATACTTGGAGTAGTGTCTTGCTTGCTTTAAGTGTCCTTTGTTATTTTTTTTTTCTCGTTTTTCATCTACTTGACTATACGTTAGTGCTCGTGCCTATTTAGCTAGTCCAGCATGCAACAAAGCTGCCATTTTAATGCACTTCTTTTTCCCCCTCTCTTTTGTTTTTCAGTATTAAGTTGATGTGCTTTGCTGGGTGAGGTATTGGTATAGGTATGTTTCTGCACTTTTATTCTATCGCAAGTTCACAACTCGTTCCTGGCTTCCTGCCAAGAAAAACAGAGCAGCGTTTATAGATCCTACAAGAGTCACATGCTTTATGGACAGGACCTGCAGTTTGGAACTATTGGAGGATGGAGATGGTGTTGAAATTGCTTGTAGTCTTTCCATTTGTACTAACCCAAATAGATCCCTTGCCCTAGAAAGCTTTTCTGTTTTGTCTTTTGGAAACCATTTTAAGTTAACCTGTGTATATTAAAAGGGAAGGGGTCAAAATCTTAAAATCACATTCTAGAATGCTTACGTCATTTTCAAACTCCAATCAATTCAGTTTAACTTTTCCTTGTCAGTTGCTTCCATTATCTATACTCAAGGGTGGCAAATTTCTGGTGTTCTGATTTGCGGTAATATATTCTGCCGAGGTAATCTGTGAGAGTGTCAAGGTATCATAAAACTTACTTAAGGCTCGGATAAGGAGTTTGTTCTGCAGAATAAGTCGCTCCATGTAAATTTCAGTAGAAAGTCCTTGTGTCTGAGTTTTTCCTCATATTTTGGGTCTTGGCATCATGTCGTTTTATATTGCATTTGTCACCTCCACCTACGGTCATTCATCTACGGGCTTCAACCTTCAGGGCAAATGTCTTGATGTTTGTTCAGTTTTTTTCTGTTTCACATGAAATCCGTCGTCCATCCTTTCACGTTGCACATGACCATTAGAGGCTGGGACCGATTAGCACTTATTTAGGGTGTCACATTCATAATCAAAGACATTTGATTTCTCTAGTGGCAAAGACATTTTTGTCCGCTTGCCTGCAGGAGTGGACGAAGCGGAAGCGAGAATGTCGGCTTGAGTAATGGAGAATCTAGTGCCTCGAAAGCCCAAGGGTTCCTCAGCAGGGTTCCTCCACAGAGGGTGAGTCAGGGCCCAAGATTGGGCCGAAAGGCGTAGTCAATGGACAACAAGTGAATATTTCTATACTACCCCTTGTTGGTCCCAAAGGATCAAGGCGGCTAGGTAGCCAAAAGATAGTTATCGGTTCAAGAACGCTAGGTGCCCCTGCTTTTTCAGGGTAAAAAGGGGTAGAAAAAATGCCTTGAGCTAATGTTCGAGTACTAGGCGCTACGACGTTAAAGTAACCCATGCCTTACTCCCAGGAAAAGTTCGAACTTTCAAGAAAAGTGTACCTTACCCAAAATCGACACAGGTAGGTAGGTAGAGAATACTTAGGAGCACAAGACAACTCTCTCTAAGGAACTTGGTGTGTACCCTTTCTATGGTAGGGAAATAAGCCACTTCTTTTGTGTGGATTTAAGGACCTCAATCTCAATCGGCTCAGTTCAAGTGCTAATACCATGTGATGAAGTAACATGCACAAATGGCCGTCGTTGTTCGGCCATGCACTAGGCATGAGTACCTTGTTACGTTAGCAAGTAATGTATGAATGAAATTATCGAGTAATTTTGGTAAACTGGTCTTAAAAAAACATCGATAGCGATAAATCAAGCTTGTACTTGTCCAGCCTGCGCTATGTGTGTAGTTCGGTGTCCAATTAGCTAGTTTAGTTTAAATTTTGTTGTATAGAGATTGCTGAGTTTGTAATATGAGGAGCGAGCTACAAACTATGTCAAACTCGCATTGGGTGCATCCAAAATGAAATAATAGTGAATGGGGATCACGTGATTCTTTTCGATATACTCATTATGTCCCCTGTTTTTATCTAACTCAAAAAAATAAATTGCCCAGCTTCTCCAATTTCGTCATTTCTCAATTTTAAATTGCACCACGATATTAAGTAAAATTACCATCATCATCCTATATCCTGCTTTGGAAGTAGGTGAATAGCCAAGCCAGCATTGACAGAGAGCAACCAATTCTTAATTTTTGATTCATGTAGATGAGGCATGTATCGACAATTGAGATATTCATGACTTGTGAGATTATCTTTGGGAAAAAGAACCACGTCCAAGAAAAAGGGGTCAAAACCATCGACCATAGATCTTACTTTCAATAGATTTAAAGCCACTTGATATGTCCTTAATTACATTGTTTGCTTCAAGTGTTTGACTAACTAGGAACATCAAGAATAAAAACCTAAATATATTAACAAATATAGAAAAGGAATAGAGAACAAATCTTCAGGGTACAAATTGGTGTCCAATTGTTTCGTAGAAAGTTCGACATTTCTGAAAAAATTTTTCCAAGAAGTAATTTTTTGGAAATTGACTATTTTACAATGTTTGGCTAAAATCTAAAATTGAATTGGAAATCATTTTCCATCACTTGAAAACGAAAGCCTACTTTTAATTACCTAAATAGACATACAATATACGAGCCCTAATGACTCGGGCACGGGTCCATGGAAGCCGAGCCCAAGACCCCGATGCCCATGCCCAGCTTCCCAGCACCCCAGGCTGGGTCTATTGAGGCAGGGCTCAAGTCCATGGAGGCTGGGCTTAGGCCTCCAGCACCCGTTCCTAGGTCCTCAGCACCCGGCCCTGGTTCATGGAGGCTAAGGATGAGTCCACAGAAATCGAGCCCAAGACCTTGATGCCTATGCTTGTGTCCTCAGTGCTCAAGCCTGTGTCCATCGAGGATGGGGCCAAGACACCTACGTCTGTGCCTGCTACCCGGCCTAACCTCTATGGACTCGGGTTGGGTACCAAGGATCTGAGCTTGGGCACAGGGGTATTGGGCTAGGGCCACGAGGAGCTAGGAATGAGCACCAAGATCACTGGCCCAGCCTCCGTGGATTTAGGCTCGGCCTCTATGGATCCTAGCCCAACCTTTGGGGATGCCTTGGACTTGGGCCCGAGTGTCAAGGATCGAGCATGGCACCGGGGTCTCAAGCCCGATCTCAATGGATCCGAGTCTATCCTCAATGGACCCAACCCTGGCTTGCTACCAATGACTTGGGAACGCGCGTTGAAGTTCCCGTGCGCAAATCTCTAGCCCAAGTATTGATGTCTAGTCATATTTTGGAGAATGATTTTTGAGTTTTAAAAGGGGAAATGATTTTCTAGAATTTAAATATAGATTTTCCATTAACTTGGAAAAATATACCGTTGACTCATTTTACTAAGCAATCCAAATGCTGAAAAATGAGGAAAATGTTATCTCTGAAAAAGTTTTCCACGAAACAAATAGAGCCTCGTATCATGAAACTTTTCCAACAGGCATAGAAGGAGAGGATGGAGATCCTTTACCACGAACGGTGTTTCCATTGGCGTCTCAATCAATTCTTAACAATGATACATATAAACGAGGCATGTAATGTTGGGACACTAACGAAATGTGGGAGCATCTTGTGGGATAAAGAATTCATGTTTAAATGTGATGTCAGCATTTCTCTCTTTTCGAAATGGGATAAAGAATCGACGTTCAGAAGGGATAAAGAATCCCCAGAAGCTTGAAACCTCGAATCTTGATCGAACGAATGAATGAACGAGGGAGTGCGGGAATGAAGGAGAGAGAGGGGTTTTATTTATATATAATTGGGCGTGCTAGATACGTTTGAGTATTGACCCGCAGGACAGGATAATATGACGCTTACATCAGCTAAAGTGGCCATCTAGCCAAAGTCGGCTCAACTTGCCGCTTGGAGATCATGTTGAGTGGTTGCGACTTGCGATGTGGTCTGGTGCGCTTTATCTTTGCTCTTCCTATCTAATCTAATCTTTTGTAGATGTTGCGTGATACCTGCTTGTAAAAAAAATTTACTCTGTAGATTCACCGCGATGAATAAAGTAAATTACAGTACAACGTAATGTTATTTTCATGAACATCGACTAAATATCAGAATTATTCATATTTATTGTTTTGTCGATTGCTACCCATTTGTATTTGAGGAGTTTTATGGGCTGTAATTTACTGCAAGTTTGTGTTAAAGTAATAAAGGCTTGGGTTGAAAGTTTCTCTTCAAGAAAGGAAATGGGTTTACTAATTTCAATATGGATTACTTTTTCAAATCTTAATTTTGAAAGTTCCAGTGTCGTCCTTATTTAAATGCAAACTGTGGCTCAATGAGAAGCTATGTCTCCTTCTAATTATCGAGCAAACTATATCCTAATTTGTTTATGAATTTATTTAATGTGTTTGCTAATAATACTTACCAAAGAAAACGCTTCACATATCATAAAAGTATTTTCTTTCATCAACGGGCAAGATATGTAAAGACACTCATGATTTGTCGGAGTATCTTATATAAAAAGAATTCACGTTCACAAGAAAAGTCAATGACCATCAGCAATATATTTTACTTTTCAATAAATTTACAGCAACTGAAGTATGTCATTAATTACATTGTCTGTTCCAAGAGTTCAAGTCAATAGGAAAATCAAGAATAAAACCCCGGATATATTAACCAAAATAAAAAAAGAATAGAGAACAAATCTTGGGGGTATAGCTTGGTGTTCCGACACTCCCATAGTCCCATCTATGAGTTTCTCGTGAACAAAAAAGACAATGCGCAAGCAAACGGAATTTTTTGTGGTTTGCTTCGGGCTTTTGAGGGTCCCCATTTGAGTCTTCATCTCAATGGATCAGGCCCATCTCCCAGGAAATCTCTGTCTCCCAACCCTTTTAACACATGAACACCAAAAACAAAAAATTCTTAGTCATCGACTTCTATCTATATTTTTCTGTACTTATCTTGAACCAAAATTACAGTGTCTCACTTTTCAATACCTTCCAAATTTGCCTCAACATACAAAAGGTCGTGCATCTCACTTTACTAATGTGATTCCGCTTTGTTCTCAAATGGGTAAATCTTTCGTTTTAGAATTTGTGGCCGGTTACTTCCAATCTCACATATTGCATGCTTCCTTTATGGCAGGCTTAATGGTTTTCATTTGAGACTTGGAGTTTGTGTCAAGATAGTGTCTCGAATATTGTCGATTTTGGATATGAGGATCAGGT